TTCTTGTGCTGTTCCTCCACCCTCCCAAGCATGATATTCTCCTGCAAGGACTGGTCCCTCCTGGCCACATGCCCAAAGTATGTTAAGAAGCAGCTTTGAAATCCTTGCCTCCAAAGAGAAACTTGGTTTAACCCTCTCCAGGACAGGCCTGTTTGTCCATGATATGCCCAATACTCTTCTCCAGCATTACATTCAAAGGCATCAGTTATTCTTCTGTCATACTTAGTCATTGTCCATCTCTCTGATTCATAGCAAGTAATTGTGAAAGCCTTGGCCTGGATCAGGTGCATCTTTGTCTCTAGACTGATGCCATTGCTCTTTAGCACTTTGGAGAGGTCCCTACAGCAGACTTCCCTAATGCAATTCCTCTTTTCTAATTGAGATTTTAATGAAAGTTTATAGAGAACTTGATTTCCATTCATTCATTGTTGCACATTTTCCTCCCTGCCCACCCCAGCCCCAGTTCACTTTTCTCTTTGAAAAAATAAAATAAAAATTCTTTCATTGTTGTACAATTCCCCACCCCCACCCCACCCCACTTTACTATGCAGCTCTTATTCTGGACTGTTGTCATGTAAATAATACCTAATCATATATTCTTTTTAAGCAGTTCTAAGCAATTCATCTTTTGATTTCCTGACTGCTTGTTGCCAAGAGTGTTGAGTGTTGATTGTGGAGCTGAGCAAGCTGAAATTTTTACCAACCTTAATCTCTTCTCCTTCCATCATGGTGCTGCCAATTGGTCCATTGGTGAGAATCCTCTTGAGGTGGATAGGAAGCGGTTTAAAAGACCATGGCTTGAATCTAGTGTGTCTTAGCCTTTTTTTTTTAAATAGATTTATTTACAAAGTTCGTATACTTTGTTTTTCACATTGGATCTTTCCCATTTTCTTCACCTACCCCTCCCTCCACCTATCTTTTACTTTTCAAAGAGAAGAGTGTACTGGGATGGGGAGGGGTGGGCAGGGAGAAAAGTGCAACAATGAATGAATGGAAATCCCAAGTCTCTAAATTTTCATTACAATTAATATAATAAAAAA